ACTACATATGTATGTACGTATGTACGTATGTACGTATGTACGTATGTACGCATGTACGTATGTACGTATGTACGTACGTACGTACGTACGTACGTACGTATGTATGTATGTATGTATGTATGTATGTACGAATGTAATGTAGGTATTAGTGTAATGTATGTATGCACGCATGCATGCATGCATGTATGTATGCATGTATGTATGTATGCAGGTGTGGATGTATGCATGCATGCATGCATGCATGCATGCATGCATGCATGTATGTGTGTATATATATAGATATAGATTAAGCTGTCTTGTGAATATAGCGTGTGTATATACCTATATACATACATATATATATATATATACATACATACATACATACATACATACATACATACATACACGTAGTTTAATGTTTCATCTAAACACATACCTATACACACATGCAATACATAAATGAATAAATGTATAAATATAAATATATGTGTATATATATATATACACATATGTTTATACATGGTATACTGCAGGCTGGTAGTAGTGCGCCTGCTTTGTGTCTGGGTTTCTATGGCTGGTGAAGAGAAAGGGTCGCAGGTTCTTTCTAGGATTCGGCTTTGGCAGGGCTTGACAGATTGTTAAGGTTTTGGAGTTAAGGATCAGGGGCATTTTGCTCTGGATTCGGCACCTTGGGGGGGTGACGGTCTTGGAATTTGGGAGGCCATATAAGCCGAAAAGTTATAAATCTCAGGGCTTAAGCCTTAAACCCTCAACCTTAAGCAGATGCTCGTTAGGCTTTTTGACTTTTGCGCTTTCGGGCTTGGGGTGTGGGGTTGAAAGTTCTCATTTTGGGATTGGTATCTGATGTGGAGGCTTGAATAATCGCGGATCACACCTTTTAGTCCCTGTGCATAACTGGTGTCCTATATCGATTATGCCCCAACACTCTTCCTTTATTTTGAAGGCCCATATGCTACTTTAGGTGGTCATAGCAAAACAAGAGCAAACCTTGATCTGAGCTACCTGGTTATTCGTATGCTATGTGCCTTAGCCTTGGTAGCTGAAATTGAGGACAACATGTGATAAGCATGGGTTTATAGGGTCTTCAACGTCCCATAGCCCCAAACCCTACATACACCTCACAACTCGCAAACCTACCATGGATGCCTGAAAAGGTTTTGTTCTTAATATCTGTAGAGTACGAAGAAAGCGTCGGCTTCTGCCCTGAAACCTTTCAGCCCCCAAACTCCAAAACTCGCGAGCAAGCGACTACGATCAGTCTCCACATGGTCCCATGGGGATGACCGTCAGCTCACCTAGGGAGCTGGACAAGTAAGACAGACGTCAAAAAAAAAAGTCGAAGTTTGTACATCCGCACAGTCCATATATAATGTTGCTATGGTGAGCCTTATAAATCCTGGCTCGAATTTTGAAGACCCCGATAGTAGACCTCGACAAGCCAGGCTGCAGCAGTGTCTCAGTGACGCGTGTGGCCATGGGGAGGCCCAGGGCCCAATGAAAGGGCTTAGTATAGGGAGCCAATATTTTAGGGTTTAGGGTTTAGGGTTTAGGGGTTTAGGGTTTAGGGTTTAGGGTTTAGGGTTTAATATAGAAGTGCTACCATTCCCTAAGCCTCCTTTAAAGAATTAGAAGAGGTGCTAGGGTCTTGAGGTTCTTTCCAGAGAGTAGTAGTTGGCTTGTGCAGCCGCAACTGAAAATAGGAGCCTGAGCAGTGACCCAGACTGTTCCTGGGGCTTTCTTTAATCTGCTGCTGCTTATCGTATGATATAGCCTAAAGCCGTAATTGTTCTCATCACGATGGCGCCTATGTTGAGGGCCCATGCACGGAAACCTGCCCAACCCAAGGGTCTTTGTAAACTTGTATATCAGGGTTCACATAAAAAGACCCTGCCAAAACTTCAGGTTTATGTGACGTTACAAAGGCACACAAACACACACACACACACACACACTTCACCCCTGACGGATCTATACAAGAAGATCACATCTAAGCCCAACCTATACACTAAACGCCATTGGCACTCCTTGCAGCAATCCACACCTGCTGCTGCTTCTGCGATTACCTTTACTGCTCTTTGTACGACGGCAAGAGCATCAACAAGGGTGGCAAGCAACAACGACAAGAACCGCAACTACCACGGCGACGCCTCCTCTCCTGTCTTCGATCTACATCTTGCCATCATCGTCAGGATCCTAAGCCGTCGCTAGGCTTCAGTACCAATGAAAACCTAGGACCGCGAAGTTACAAGAAGCGAAGAAGGGTGATGAGCCTTTGCTTTGTTCGAGGGTAGGCGGCGGCAGGGCGTATGGCTTAGGATGTCATCGTTGAGGGCTTTGGGGTTGCAGGTTTTATGACTTTCGAAGGGGTTTGGGGGGTCAGCAGTTTCGGCTTTGTTTGGGCTAGGGGTCTGTGAGGTGAGGGGCGCAGGGGCTTGAACCCTAACGCATCTTCGACAAGGCCTTCATGAAAGCAGCTGAACTCGAACTGAGGCGACCATCTGTGAAGCAGAGAGACGCAACAACATCGCAGTAGACCCTAGACTCGACACCTCTGCAGTCGCAGCCATCTTCATTTGAAGAGGCCATGCTTCGAAGCAAAGCTCAAAGTTCCTCGAGGCCGCCTTTGTCGGGCTCCTTTGGCTAATGATGACAAGTTTTCAATACAGGCTTTGCAGGAGTTTTCCGGTTTAAGCTGGCTGATTACTGGAGTAGACTTTCAAGCACGTGTGTTAGTAGATTTCTCTGGGGACCAAACGGGAACATTGTTGTTCATTTCTTGTATCCAGACCTCCGTTTTTCAGGACGACTCACGGATCCATTGAGCCCTTCACAAGCGCACAGGCTTCAAGGTGTGGGCGTGCGGCTTGCTTTTCGTAGTTAAGGATCGCATAAGGGGCTTAACAATAGGTAAAAGAATAAAAGAACAAATTAATTATCCACACGGCATTCATACCAAGCTTTTCTGAAAAGCCTGGCAGAAGAAAGCCAGACAGCAATAAAAATAGAATCTATGTGTGGGCCCGTGGATGCTCTCACTTCCCCCGTGTCAAGAGCCGCACCCCTTTGCCTGCCAGACTGGCAGCCCTAAGCCCTAAACAAATTAAACCTAAAACGAACTGAACCCTAAACAAACTAAACCTAAAACGAACTGAACCCTAAACAAGTTAAACCCGAAACAAATTGAACCCTCCATGCGTTAAACCTCAAACTGTGAGACTCCTAAACCCTCACCTAGACCCCAAAGAACCTACCCTCTTTAAGGAGTTAACAAAAGGAATCATCGCAGGAAGCCCCAAACAGGAAGGTTTTTATAGGGCCCAGGTAAACCCTAATCCCTAAACCCACCTAATGACCCCTAAACCCTAAACCCTAAACCCCCCTAATGACCCCAAACCCTAAAACCCCCCCCAAAAAAAAATCCTAATGAACCTTCCAGGCTGGCGGAGCTTCGGAGCATCTTCTCTGACTCAATCAGTGCTGAGGGGGACGCCTCTCGCATGCAGCGAGGACTAGCCGGGGGAGGGGTCTTTAAGGACTAATCTTGGGGGCCTTAATGATCAGAATAGTAATGTTGGGGCCTTAGATTTTTCAATTTAGGGTTTGGGGTTCCTTATAGTGTAGTTATAATAAGGAACCTAGTTTTTCAGGCCCCTAAAAGGCTGCGGCAGGGCTTTATGAGGCTGCCGATGGGCCGACGTGGAACAAAGTGTGGTGTGGCCGAAACCCCAAACCCCAAACCCAAACAGCACTTTGTATACTGAACAACTAATTTCCTGCCCTGGACCCGCCCCCAAGGTTTGGTAGTAATACTAGTACTAGTAATAGTTTAGGGTTTAGGGCTAGTACCAGCAATAGTACCGGTCGTATCGTGCTCAGCTGCCTCAGACACGGATGAGCTTACTTAATCAATGGGTTCAGGCACCCTGCTTGCCCAAAGCTGAAGCACATACCAGGATCTCTGCAAGGCCTTAACGGAGGTCTTATGGTGTTTAACTTTCTTGAAAATGTTGGGCTCTTTCACCGAAACCGCCCTCCAGAGCTCACGGGGTGGAGCTAAGTACTAAGAGGTCCTGCAGCTCCGGATCCATGCAGGTCAGCCGCTCCGGGTCATATGATGACTAAAGTGGCCTTGGTGGTCAGATTCGGGCTTTGGAATAGATTCGACTGCAACTGCTTTAAAGAACAACCCTATAAGGCAAGGATTACTATTCGGCCTATTCAGGGCCCCGCTGCCACACCCCTCAACCCTAAACTCTAAACCCTAAACCCTAAACCCTAAACCCTAGCCTCTAAACCCTAATTCCTGAACCCTAAGCCCTAAACCCCAAACCCTAAACCCTATAAACCCTAAACCCTAGACCCCAAACCCTAAACCCTAATCTCTTATAAGGCATGTGGCCGAAGCTTCAGGCTCGCGCTGTAGGGCCGGACGAGGGGCCATGGTGGAAAGCTGGCGATCCCTACCCGACGTATAGTCTCCATTGTAGTTCCTTTTTTTGGGTTTAACCAGTTATAGATTAAGGATTTTATAAGGTATCCCCAAAAAGGAACTACAATGGAGACTTTAGGTCGCTGCAACACCGCCCGACGCGCGTTTCGTGGGTATTGGGGAGTCAGCTACGCTGGGAGCTTAGAATTTGGGCTGGCAGATTTTCCAGTTGTGAATCTGGGAGCGCAGCAGGGCGGGATATTGATCTGGACAGCCAGACTCCGAAGCAAGGTCAGAAGGTTCTGATACAGTACAGACAGATGCAGACCTTCGGCAGTGCCTCCGTCGTTCTCTCTCGTCGCAGCGCCATACTGTATGTGTCGACACCAACCATCATCCGAAACCCTTGCTGAACTAGGCAGTAAACCCTAAACCCAAATCCCTTAGGCAGTACGCCGAAATGATACTGCTGGCAAAACTCCCAAGCCGACCTCATGTCTCTCAAGCCTCCATATCTTGAAGCTACAAGTTCTGAAGCTGAGGTTGTGGCATTCTCGAGCGTGGAGGACATGCCCCAAAATACGCACAATGATTTTCATTCGGCCTCATAGTGTAGGCAATGAGCATGTGCTTGCCGTTCCTCTGTCTGAGTTAGACCCAGGAACGGTAGGTGCGTGCTGATTGCGTACAGGATGAAGCCGAAGGCGGGCTAAGACTACCTCGCCAACACCGCCCACTTCGCGGCCGAGTCCTCAACGGTGTGCACCACCTATGGCTTCGCGAAGTCCGTGGATGCCCTGGTCCACTACATCGACCCTGATACGCAGGAGATGAAGATTGCCTACCCGACACTGCTGTTCGAGCGCAAGATCGTGGCCGCAGCATGATGTCCTCCTTCCTTACCCTGTCCATCGGCAACACGGTCGCGAGCTGGAGTCGGTCTGCCAGTTAACATGTTGCTATATGTTGTAGGGAGAATTCGGCGGCACGGGTGGTATGATTTGAGAGATGGGCATATGCGGCATGATGCAGGCATGGGCGATGTCGAGTACGGCGAGATGTGCTGCTTTTACCTGTCCCCGTCCTTCCTCCGTTTGTTTGATGGGCCTGCCGTGAACGTGGAGGACATGTGGCGCATGCTTGCCCTTCCTAAACCCTAAACCCTAAACCCTAAACCCTAAACCCTAAACCCTAAAGGTCTCGTGGTTGGAACCATCATCAAGCCCAAGCTCGGCCTACAGCCCAAGCCTCTCGGAGAGGCCTGCTATGCCTTCTGGCTCAGGGCCGTGACTTCATTAGGAGCGATGGCACATCGATCCTAATGAAGTCGCCGCCCTGCCAGAAGGCATATGAACGATGCTAGAGCTGCTAGACCGTGTTGGAACAAAGCCTTCAATTGATTCTTGCACTACCACCGAGCCGGACACGCAGAGCCCAGAACGCCAAAAGACAGGTTGACACAGGGGTTTAAGGTTTAGGGTTCTGGTTTTAGGATTTAGGGTTCAGGGTTTAGGCAGTATCATACAACTGGGCTGCAAGGTCCTCCAACGCCGAATTCGATTTTGCTCAAGGCTCCTGCGAGATGCAAACAAAAGCAGGGCAAAGTTATGTCAGGTCCACACGAGGAAGATGCTATAACAACCCGGTATTACCGAGGTAGTACCCCATAATTTCAGAGCCCGAAGACCCACGAGAAAAGCACTGACACACACACACACACACACACACCACCACCACCACCACCACCACCGCCACCACCGCCACCACCACCACCACCGCCACCACCACCACCACCACTTCGCAGATCGCACCAAGGATCGAAACACATTCGAAGGGCTGAGTGGTTTCAATGGCCGTAGATAGAGCAAAGAGCTTCGGGTGCTGGGTTTGGAGTTGAGCTTGTTGATCTCTGGGGCTTAGGGTTTAGGGCCTTTACGCTCTGAGGTGAAGGATGTTGGTTTGAAGTGATTCTTCAGCCGAGGTTCAGCGCGAAGCGCTCATCGACGGCATGGCCGCAGAGAACGCAGCGCTGTGGCGCATGGCGCCCGCGGGATGCTTTTGGGAGTTTCGAAATGGCCTGAAATCCCCAGGGCGTTCCCCACCTCTTGACGATTTCATCGCCTGAATACCGAAACCTTGTAATGTAATTAGGCGCATCAGTAATTACCTACACTATTTTGGGATTCCTTATTGTGATTATAGTATAATATACCCCAAAACCCTATTCTAATCATTAAGGCCCCTACAGTACAGCGAAATGAATATCCCTGCTGTATGACTTCTCTACGGATCCGAAGCCCCAGGCCGCACCTATCTCCTAGGTTCCCCAGTAGTACCCTTTTGCCCTTTTTCTTTTTAGGCTCCCTTATTAAAACCAAACAGTAGGAAAAAAGGTTACCCTTGTTATTAAGGGGCCACTGGGGAGCCTACTTCTTATCTGCCGTTCCATCCCACATCCCAATGTGCACGTCGGCCACGAAAACCCCAAGCCTCGGAGGTGCGGCTGTCGGAGGTGGCCGAAAGCAGAGGGCCAATCCCTGCCCGGATCTTATCCAAAAGGCACTGGAATTATAGAGTTTAAGGTTTAGGGATTAGGGTTTAAGGTTTAGGGTTTAGGGTTTAAGGTTTAGGGTTTAGGGTTTTCTTTTTTTTTTTTTTTTTGAGGGGGGGGGGGGGGG